GGATCTCAGGTAAGTGAGACTGAACACCTTTCTGTCAGTTCTGGTTTATAAGTAGACACCCCCTGGAAATGACCCCAAGCAGCAAGAAGAACATGCTGAAGAGACTATCAGTGGAAGAACACCACCCTGTCTGACCAGTAGGACAGATCTGAAAGGGTTCTGATGTTGTTCCGTTATAGCAGATTTTGACTGTCATGTCGTCATGGAAACAGGGGACCATATTGAGAAATTATACCAGACAGCTTATTTTCTCCAGCAGCTTAAATGGATCACCCTTGCTCACGTGGCCACGTCTTGGTGGGATTGATGAAAATGATCTTTTGCTATCACCTTTGTTCATGACATTTCACTTCTAGCTGCTGGCCTGCGAAGATCAGGTTGATTGCAGACCTCCCAGGTCTGAAAGCGCCATGGGGTTTAGGGTGGATGCTTCAGTCAGGATCTGCAGTCCCGACAAGGGCAATACTTTTCCCATGATGTTCAGCAGGGAGACGCCTCGATATTTGTTGCAATCACTATAGTGGTCACAATGTTTGCATCACACAAACCTTTAAATACACAATTTACATCAACCACTCCCTGTGGTAACACATTCCACATTCTCACCGTTCTCTGGGTAATCACTGTTATGCTGAATACCCTATTGAATTTCTCAGTGGCTTTTTAAAAAAAATTACTGATAGCTGCTAATTCTGCTTTTCCCCCCACAAGAGAAAATATTCTATCCATATTCACTAAAATTCTGGACATTTTCAATTGAAAGACTTCTATTCAGTCGCCCTTCAGTCTTCCTTTTGAGAGAAGAGACCCAGGCTGATATATACCAAGAGACATTGCTGTTATCTTCTTTGTAAATTTTTTTCTGCACTTTCCAACCTCTTCAACAATATGGTAACCAGAACTGCACACAGCAAGTGAGGTCTAACTGAGCTTAACACAGATTTAACATAGACTCTCTACTTTTACTCTACTTATTCCTCCAGAGATAAAACCTGATGAGTGGTTTGTTTCTTTTCTCGCCCTTTTATCCTTTCTTGCGATATGGGCATCGCTGGCAAAGACAGCACTTATTCTCCATTCCATAAATGGCCTTCAATACTAGTCCATTTTACATTATTGTAGGTCTGGAATCATAGGTGAAGTAAAGATTGCAGACTTCCTTCCCTATCATTATAATCCAGAATGGATTTATTGAAGGTACATTCCACCAGCTCCTATGATGGGACTGGAGTCTGTATGCCCAGAGCATGACCACAGGATAACTGGTCCAGTAACATTACGCCATGCCACCAGCTTGCCTGTGGTTCCATGCCATTGCTAACCTGTGACACAGCTTCTAGTTACTAGCGTACTTGTACTCGGATCTCATTGATTTTCAGCCTCTAGACTGTCATCTCCCAAGTGACTTGTGACCTCTCATTTCTTCCAATCAGGGCTCAACTTCATTTGTCATCATAGAAGTACTTTGGAAATGTAGTCACTAACAAAAGAAATGTAGCAGCAAATTGCACAGAGTAAATTCCTACAAACAGCAATGTGATCATGATCAAATCAGATCTTTTTGTGATGCTGATGGAAAGGTGGAGTGTGTTTGATGCCTTATATAAAAGATGGCTTTCTAATCATGCAATGCTCCCAAAGTATTACAGAAAGCATTTGCCTAGATTTTTGTGCTCAGTCCTAGATTGGGAATCAAATCCACAACTTTCGACTTGGGGCAAAAGTCTTAACGTTTGAGCTACAGCTGTCAAACAAGCAAACCAAGGGTGCAGTAAGCTTTATATTCCAAAGATTTTATTTACTCCACAGCTTCCTCAGCCAATTATTACTTTTTCATTCTAACAGTCTAATGTCTGCTTCTGATCATTTTTCTTCAGCCTCGTTTTGTCACTTCCTTCTCTTTCAACTCCCTGTCCAGAACTTAGATGTTATTGGCTTCTAAATGTAAAGGCTTTACTTTGGGAAAATCACTTTCACTGGAGTTGGAAGGTTAATGGCTCAAGATCCACATGAGTGCAATAATCCAGGCTGACAGTTTAATAAACTACCGAGGGTGTGCTGCACTGTCAGAGACACTGGTATTTGACGAGGTCTTTAAACCAAGGCCTAGCTGCCCACTCTGATAATTGTAAAAGATCCTGCAGCAAGACTTTAAAGCAGGGGAGTTATTGTCACTGTCCTGTTGTTTCCTACATTACAATAGTAACTATATTACACTCTGTCAGACGTAAACTGTTTTGGTAAATCCTATCAGCACAAAAGATGCTATGTAAATGCAAGTCTTTTTTTTCCATTGCTAGTGCTGAGTTCAAGGCTCCCCTGAAGCTGGCACATTGCTGTAAGATGATCCAGAACTGGCAAAGTATATTTTTTAAAAAACCGCGCTTATCATGGTGTGATACAAAAGGAACAAAGTACCTCTGTTTGAGACTCAAGGTCAGCATGAAGAACTCCAAAGATTATGTGTGACCTGGATCAGTGCACAGGAAATATCTCCTGTGCCAACAATGCATCTCAGTTCCAACTGCACAACAACCTGCTCTTGCATCAGTGCAAACAATTATCCATTTAGTGCTCTAGCAGAATTCTGGACTCAGAAGAAGGCCCTTCAATTACCACAAATTGGTCCTACAACAGTGTGGGTGATACTCTTGGGGAGGACAAACAATGATGAACAGTAGGACCTGGGTAAGCACTGAGGATCAGAGGGACCTTGGTGTGCATGTATGCCAGTCCCTTAAAGGTAGTAGGGCAGGTAGACAAACTGGTTTAAAAGGCATATGGGATACTTGCCTTTATTAGCTGAGGCACACAGTTTAAGAGCAGGGAGGTTATGCTAGAAATATATAAAATGTTGGTTAGGCCTCAGCTAGAGTGTGCAGTTCTGGAATCCACATTATAAAAGGGATGTGATGGCACTGGAGAGGGTGCAGAGGAGATTTACCGGGATGTTGGCTGGACTGAAGAATTTTAACAATGAAAAGAGATTGAACAGACAGGTGTTGGCTTCCTTGGAGCAGAAAAGACTGAGGGAGGAAATGCTTGAGATGAATAAAATTATGGAGGGGTATAGACAGGGTGGATAGGAAAGGAACTTTTCACCTTAGTGGAGGGAGATTTGACTAGGGGGCATAGATTTAAAAGATAGTGGCAGGAGGTTTGGTGTGGATGCGAGGAAAAACATTTTCACCCAGAGGGTGGTGGGCATCTGGAACTCACTGCCTGTAAAAGGGTGGGAGAAGCAGAAATTCTCATAACATTTAAGAAGTATTTAGATGTATATTTGCGACGCCAAGGCATACAAGACTATGGGGCAAAGACTGGAAAATGGGATTAGAATAGTTCGGTGGTTTGATTAGTGCAGACTTGGTGGCCTTTTTCTGTGCTGTAGATCCCTATTTCTAAACCAGGAATTTTCTTGGTTTGTGCAAGATGTAATTTGGAACAAGGTACACGGGTGAAAGGGCCTAGTGCATTTCACCATCCAGCTCAGGCCTGAAAGGTTCTGTGAGGACAGAAGAAGAATTATTTTCCAATATCACATATGAAATGGATACATTGCACTTTATAATGTCTACACACCAACAGCCCCTCCCCTACATACACATAGTCTTCATCAGCATTCACAGTGAAGGAGTTCATGGATAAATAAATACATAGTGCAAGGAAGAAGTATTGAAATAGCAAAATAAATAATCATTCAAAACCCTGCCTCACCACCTTAATTCAGCTGCAAACATTTCCAATAGAAACCTGATCAGCCTTGTGCCTTATGGTTACATTTGCAAAGACTATCCATTTTGCCAGCTGATGCTTAGGCATCTGACTGCAGTAAGCTGTGACTAGTGGAGTGCTACAACAACTACTTCTGGGACTGCAGCTATTCACAATCTATAGTCAAGACTTAAAAATCAACACACGGCAAATTTGGACACGTCAGCTTTATATCGGCAAAAAGTAGGTGGAAAAGTAAGCTAAGAAGTGAACAGAGTCTGCAATAAAATAGAGACAGGTTAACTGGGCAACAACATAGCAGATGGTGGGCATGTACAAGGTCATTCATGTAAGATGTGTGGAACTTGTACATGTTGACGTACTAAAGGACTTGTGTATGGCTTGTGCAAGGAACACAAAGTTAGCATATAAGTAAATCAAACAATTGGGAAGGCAAATGGAAAGTTGGCCTTTATTGCGAGGGGATTGGAGTATTGTATAAGAATAAAGTCTTGCTACAATCATACAGGGCTTTGGCGAGTAAACATCTGGGGCATTGTGTACAATTCTGGCCTTCGTACTGAAGGAAGGATACACTTGGAGATAGTTCAGTGATGATTCACTAAATTGGTCCCTGGGATGAAGGGAATGTCCCACAGTGAGATGCTGAGTGAACAGGAGTCTATATTCTTTGTAGTTTAGAAGAATGGGAGGAGACCTGATTAAACTATACAAGATTCTGAATCATGTTAAATTTATTCTTTTGTGGCATATGGGTGTCATTGGCAAGGCTAGCATTTGTTGCTGATCGCTAATTTCTATGGTGTCCTGGCCAATGTTTATACCTCAACCAACATCACAAACACTGATTAGCTGGTCAGTTGACTTGGGTCTTTTTATTTGCTGTGGTTCCTGAGTTGGAAAGGTGGCTATAATTCAAAAGTACTTGATTTGCTGCAACATGCCTTGGGACATTGAGGTTGTAAAAGACACAGTAAAAAAATGCAAGTGTTTCCTTTTCACAATAGAACAGAGCTAAAATCAATGATCCATTCCATTTGATAACAGATCCTTGACACCAGAGTTCTAAACAGCTGAAGACGAATCGTGTCTCTTTTCATTCAGAAGGAAGCAAAGGGCAAAGAGACCCAAATGGGAGGAAGATACCACAGGCATTAGCTCGTTAGAGTCAATGAAGGTGGAGCTGGACAAACACAGCAGGTCAGACAGCATCAGAGGAGCAGGAAAGTCAACGTTTCGGGTCGTTAGTCTGTCTCTCTCCTGACCTGTTTGATGAAGGCAGTGGAGATCATATCCCACGAGACAATCCCATGGTCCATTAGCTCCAGGAATGCGGTCAGTGTGAAGGCTAGCATCTCGCCGAAACTGCAGGGAAACACGTAGTTCAACAGGTCAGTACACAAAAAACCAGCTGATGTTTACAGGCTGGGCCATACACTGCTTGAAGGACAGAAATATCAATGACTGTGTCCATCCTGTGCCTAAATGGACGGGCTTTCCAAATTTCTAGGGTGCTACTGAACACCTGGCCTGTAATGTATTACCCAGTGTGGTTTCTTGGCCAGATAGACAAGGGCCCAGGACTGATCTGTTAGCTGAACAGACTTGGGTTAAAGGAATACAAATAGGAATACTGTCCTCAGTTCTATAGTTAAGGCAAGATCAGGGGAGGGGAAAGAAACTAGACAAAGTTCCAAGTTATAACTGCTGTCCAGTGATTAACCCCAATCCCAGATCTGACACTGCTGCAACGCCCTCCTTAGTCAAAGACTTATATAGAGGAACATGGGAACAGGAATAGGCCATTCAGCCTGTTCCACTATTCAGTGAGATCATGGCTGATCTGTGGCCTGACTTCATAACTGCCTTTGGCACATAGGCCTTAAAATTTTTGTCATGTAAAAGGTATATCTATTTCAGATTTAAAAATTAAAAACTGATTCAGCATCCACTGCCATTTTTAGAAAACAGAGTTCCAAACATCTACCAGCTTTGTCTGTAAAGTGCTTCTTAACACCTCTCCTGAACAGTGTGGCCCTAATTGTCAGACTATGCCCCTTGTTCTAAAATCCCCAGCCAGTGGAAATGGTTTATCTTTATCTATCCTGTCTTCTCCTGTTAATATTTTGAAGTCTTTGATCAGATAATTTCTTGATCTTCTAAATCCTAGAGAAAGCAAGCCTAATTTGTAGAATGTCTCCTCATAACTTAACCCATGAAGTCCAGGTATCATTCTGGTAAACCTATGTTGTGCTCCCTTCAAGGCCAATATATCCTTCCAAGTGGAGTCTAACCAGGGTTTTGTATAACTGCAGCATAACTTCTGCATCCTTGTACTCCAGTCCTCTAAATATAAAAGGACAGCATTCCATTAGATTTCTTAATTTTCAGCATCAGTTTGTGACATTTTAAAGATCTATGCACCTGAACCCCCAAGTCTCTTTGGAACTCCACTGTATTTAACTCATACCATCTAGAAAGTTCCCTGATCTATCTTTTCTTTGGTCCAAAATGGATAACCCCATGTTTGCTTACAGTTAACTCCCATCTGCCACCATTTTGCTCATTCACTTAGCATAAAATTACCAAGGGATATTGACAGACCATCACCTAAACTGTCCACAATGTTGCCTAACTTTGTGCCTCAGCAAAATTGTATGTATTATCACTGCCATTATCCAAGTCATTAATAAATAATGTGAAAAACTGAGGCCCTAACACAGATACTTGTGGGACACCACTGGTCACATTGTGCCACTCAACTAATTTCCCAGCCATGTCAGTAATCACCCTCAATTCTGTGGGTTTCTACCTTACATAACAGTCTCTTATGTTGGATCTTATCAATAGCCTTAAGTCCATATAAACAATATCCATAGACATTCCCCTGTCCACTACGATAGTCACCTCTTCAAAAAATTCAATGAGGTTTGTCAGGCATGACCTACCGGTCATGAATTCCTGCTGCTTCTCCTGATTAACTGAAAATGTTCAAGGTACTCAGTCACCCCATCCTTAAGACCACAAGACATAGAATTAGGCTTTTTGGCCCATCAAGTCTTCTTCACCATTTGGTCAGAGATGGTATGTTTCTTAGCCCCATACTCCTGCCTTCTCCCTGCAACCCTTGATCTCCTTTCTAATCAAGAGCCCATCTATCTGTCTTAAATACACTCAATGACTCAGCCTCCATAGCCCTCTGAAGCATGGAATTTCACAGATTAACTGTCCTCTGGCTGAAGAAATTCCCCCTCATCTAAAGACTCATCCCTTTACTCTGAGGCTGTGCCCTTGGGACCTAGTCTCTCCTAATAGTGCAAACATCTTTGCCTCAGCCTATCCAGGTCTCTCAGTATTCTATAAATTTCAATCAGATCCCCCCCTCAGCCTTCTAAACTTCATTAGGTACAGACCCAGAGTCCTCAACCGCTCCTCATGTGATAAGTCCTTCATTCCCAGGGTCATTCTTGTAAACCTCCTCTGGACCCCCTCCAACGCCAGCATGTCCTTCCTTAGATACAGGGCCCAAAACTGTTCACAACCTCAGCGGTATATCTCTGCTCTTGTATTCTAGCCCTCTTGAAATGAATGCAAACATTGCATTTGCCTCCCTAACCGCCAACTGAACCTGCATGTTAACCTTAAGAGAATCCTGAACAAGGACTCCCAATTCCCTTTGTGCTGCAGCTTTCCAAAGCCTTTCCCCATTTTGAAAATAGTTTACACCTCTATTCTTCCTACCAAAGTGCATAAGTGATTATAGGGTCTAATAATTACCCCAATACAGCTATTAGGCTAATTGGTCTGTAATTCTGTGGTTTTCTTCTTCTGCCCTTCTTAAAAAGGCAGAATGACATTGTAATTTTCCAATCCAGAGGGTCGACTCCTGTATCTAGTGAACTGTGAAAGATTATAGTTAGGGTATACAACGTGCTCCGTAGTTCCTTCAACACCCTCGAATGGAAACTGCGAGGTCCTAAGGATTTGTCACTGTTTAATTCCATGTCTTTGTTTAATGCAAGTATTAGGAAGAGGTAGTCCCATTTAGCCCCTTCAGCTTGTTCGGCCATTCAATTAGGTCATGACTGATTTGAACCTCAACTCCATTTATCCACCTTTGCTCGATTTCTCATGATCCCCTTACCCAATAAAAATATATAATTTCTGCTAGAAAGCTGCACAGCAACCCCGATATTTGCAATTCTCTAGGAGAGAAAGCTCCAGATTTCTAACAGACTTCTTGTGAAGAAAATTGTCTTTTTTTTTGTTTCCCTTGTGAAACTGCCTAACTCCAACTGGAAGACAATGCCCCCTCTACCAGCAGAGGCAGTTTCACTGTATCGACCCTATGGAATCCTTTCAGCATTTTAAACAACTCAATCCAATCAACCCTCCAAGGTAATAATTAGGGGCCTTCACTCAGATTAAGTACTAAAGGATTGTCAGGAACTATATAAAGCAGAGCGTTAAATGCACATGATCAAGGAGAAGTTAACATAGCACTTGTGCATGAATCTGCACGTTTACAGACGGCATCATCGCATTCAACCAAGCAGGCAATCAGACATACCTGTGACTGGGCCACCCAATCACCTGCTAATTCTCACAGTAAGGATGAAAGCAAAGCTCAGCTTGCTAAACAGCCTGCTCAAGCGAATAATTCAAACATTTACAAAGGAGGCGAGGCAGTCCTGAAAAACCCACTTTACTGACAGGGATCTCCAGACGGTTGTGGTCGGACTGAGGGGGGAGCACCGATACAAGTCAGAAAAGCAAACCGTCCAATAAACAAAACAGTCCAGTAGGTACAGGTGATGAGCAGGCGTCCATCACAATGCAAAATGACGTGGGGGATAAGTGAGGAGGGGGGGGTGGGGCATTCAGGGTGTGCCAAAACAAGGAAGATGGCTGTTAATGATCTTGCATTGCTCTACATGTTTCCAATTACCTAAAAGCAATGGGGCACTACTTAATGTTGGCACAAATGGTTATCCAATGGGGATGAAGCCATCAGTCATTCTGGTTTCAAATATTTCACACAAGAACAAGGTTTACCTGAATTTATCCAGTAAGTTGCTGGAAGTAAAACACAAAATGAGGGTAAATGAGGATAGCTGGTAAGTATTAGCACAGGCCAGAAAGACAAAATGCATCATACTAACTATTTCCATTTCACAGACAGAAATAACCCTGCTCTCCAGTTAGCCAACTGTCTCACATTTTACTTTACTACATCGAACAGTTCACCTTGCCTGTACTTGGTAAATTATCTCACAAAAGCGATACACACTGCTTCTTTTTGAAGAGTCAATGATTATAAATAGAGTGCAAGAAGATGGTCGCTTTCTGCTCCCCAGCCAACTCTGGGGTATGGCATCACAGAAAACGTGGATTAGGGACATAGAAGTAGGAGCAGGCCATTCTGTCTGTCGAGCCTGCTTTGACATACTAGACCCTCATGGATCATCTACCTCAAGGCCCATGCTATCTCCTGATCCCTTAATGTTTGGGTAATTGCAGTGGGGCGATTTCTGACAATGGCTTGCTACGGATTCCATACCACAACTTGGCTCCTCCTCTGTTAAAACCGAAATAAAGACAACTCAAACAAGTTACAAAAGCAGAAATTGCTAGAGAAACTCAGCAGGTCTGGCAGCATCTGTGGAGAGAAAGCAGAGTTAACGTTTCAGGTCCAGTGATCCTTCCTCAGAACCAACAAGCAATCTAACAATTTGGAATGTGTGAGCGTCACCTCAGCATCAACTATCCCACCAAAAGTAGGTATCCGCTCAGGGGGAAGCGGGGCAGGGGGAAATCATGAGCACAGGTTGTAGCTGAAGGAGGACACCCCGCTCAAGAGACTAGTGAAACAGCAATAACTTTCAGCAAACAACAAACACGTCACTTGCCAGATCAGGACAAGGTGAAGTCAGCTGCTTTGGTTGGAGTCAACGATTCCATCACTCTGACAAGTTGAGTGAGTGGGCAAATGCATTGTAGATGCAGTATAACGTGGACAAGTGTGTTCCTAAGATAACATGGTGTAGAGCTGGATGAACACAGCAGGCCAAGCAGCATCAGAGGAGCAGGAAGGCTGACGTTTCGGGCCTAGGCCCTTCTTCAGAAAAATGTGTTCCTAAAACAGGTTATTATCTGAAAGGCTACAGACTGGAAAAGGGGGAGGTGCAATGAGACCTGGGTGTCCTTGTACACTAGCTGCTGAATGTAAGCATGCAAGTATAGCAGGCTGTGAAGAAGTAAACAGTACGTTGACAAAAGGATTTGAGTACAGGAGCAGGGATGTTTTGCTACAGGGCCTTGGTGAGGCCACACCTGGAATTTTGTGTGTAGTGTTGATCTCCTTATGTGAGCAAGGATGCTCTGGCGACAGAGGAAGTGTAACAAAGGTTTGCCAGACTTGATTCCTGGGATGGCAAGACTAACATATGGAGAGAGACTGGATTGGTTAGAACTGCAATCACCGGAGCTTAGAAGAATGAGGTTGGGGTGGGGGGTGCGGTGGTGGGGTAGGGATCTCAAAGAAACCTATAAAATTCTAACACAACTAGACAGGGTCAATACAGGAAGGATGTTCCTGATGACTGACGAGGCCAGAACAGGGGTCACAGTTTAAAGGTAGGCCATTTAGGATTGAGATGAGGAGAAATTTCTTCATCCAGAGAGTGGAGTGCCTGTGGAATTCTCTGCCACAGAAAGTGGTCGAAGCCGAAACATTGAATATTTTCAGGAAGTAGTTAGATATAGTTCTTGAGGCTAAAGGAGTTAAAAGGTAATGGGGAGAAAGTGGGAACGTAGTACTGAGTTGGATGATCAGCTATGATCATAGTGAATGCAGGAGCAGGTTGTAAGGGTTGAATAGCCTACTCCTGCTCCTATTTCCTACGTTTCTCATTTGTCCTTCAATGTGCTGAAAATTTGTCCAATAGATGGACTCTGATTGGGCAACATTTGCAGAGGAAATTTACACTGTACAACAACCTGACAGTATTCTTGGAGAGATACCCCCAAAACATGACAGTGAGATGTTGAACCTTTTGGTGCAAGAAGTGGTATATGTAATTTCCAAAATCCTTGCAATATTACTGAATGTATTTTACAGAAACATTCACAGGATATAAGTCTGGTTGTCCTCCTTCTCATGTTAAATAAAAAGTGCAAGACAGTGGAGAAACTGACAGCACCTGTGGGGCGAGAAACAGAGTTAACATTTTGAGTCCAATATGACTCTTCTTCAACATGTGCTGGCTGTTTTTAAAAGAACTGTTTGTTTAGTCTTAGTCCACGGCTTGGCACAGAGCGTCTTCTCAAACACTTATCCAATCCTTTTCTGAAAACGACTGCTGAACATGTTTCTACTGCCCTGTCAGGCAGTGCATTCAAGATTATAACACCCAAATGCATTACAAAATCCTCAGGTTCACATCGTAACCATCTTAAATCAATGCCTCTAATCACTGGCATTCCTAACAGTGGAAACATGTCTCTTTATTTACATTTCCAAATCCCTTGACTAAACCTACTTTTAACCTTTTGAAGAAAATCAATTGCAGTTTCTTTAGTTTTTCTACATAACTGAAGTACAAGTCTTGAACGTTGCAACCATTTAAAGAATATATTTTCTTTAAAAAACACTGGGACACTAACTTGGTTCCACTCTCCACCAGGAGAGTGAGGATGAAAATTCCTTCCATGTTGATAAACTCAGTGGCGAAGGTGGCATCAGCAGAAAGTTTCGCCAGCTCCTTCAAAGCATCGAGACGGGAGTCCAGGCCGGAAGACTGGATCCTCTCCAACAGCTGCCGAGCTGCTCGAGTCTGTTAACAATATAGATCCCTTGAGAAATGGCTCTTCTGTAATGTGATGAATTATCAATTTTAAAATCAATACAATGCCTAACACTCAGTACTGCAGGAATGCATCCAGCTCTTCTTTGCTCACGCTCTCCTCTTCCAGCCTGCCCTTGCTCCACAGTATCGTCTGACTGCACAGATGACTGGCACTCTCGGCTCCAGGTATAACAAAGTAGCCTGCACTGATTTCCCCTCTCCTGCTTGACTATAGCCCTACAGGTACTGATCATCCGGTACCTCTTTAACTCGCATCCAGATAGTGTTCACAAGCTGTCAACTGATATACACAGTCACAATCATCCAATCCAGGCAGATAGTCTGCACCTGATCCTACTGAGGAGCTTGCAATGACATGCTACATAGCTGTGACAAAGGTAAACTAATGGCCTTGTCCATCTTAACCGACCAAAACCTCTCCATTGCTGTCCACCTGGGTGGACTCACTTGCCTAGTTTTATTTCAATCAATCAGTCTCATCACAACTAAAGTATTGTTTGTAATAGCTTCTCATCCTGCTGCCACACTGTTACATGCAGTGACCTCCAAAGATCTGTCATAGAGTCATACAGTATGGAAACAGACCCTTCGGTCCAACCAGTCCATGTCGAACACAATCCCAAACTAAACTAGTCCCACTTGCCTGCTCCTAGCCCGATATCCCTCCAAACCTTTCCTACTCATATATTCATTCAAATGTCTTTTAAACGTTGTATTTGTACCTGCATCCACCACTTCCTCAGGAAGTTCATTCCACACGCGAACCATGCTCTGTGTAAAAAATTTGCCTCTCATGTCTTTTTAAATCTCTTTCCCCTCACCTTATAAATGTGCTTCCCAGTGTTGAAATTCCCCAACTTAGGGAAAAGACAACGACCAGCACCTCTAGCTATACCTCTCATTATTTTATAAACTTCTATCAGGTCACTTTCAATCCCCTATGCTCCAGTGAAGAAAGTCCCAGCCTATCCTTATAACTCAAACCTTCCATACCTGGCAACATCCTGGTAAATTTCTTCTGAACCCTCTCCAACTTGATAATATCCTTCCTATTATCAGGACACAGCATTTCAAAAGAGACATTACCAATGTACTGTACAACCTCAACATAACGTCCCAACTCCTATACTCAGAGGACTGAGCAATGAAGGCAAGCGTGCCAAATGCCTTTTTAACCATCCTGTCTATATGTGATACAAAACTTTAAAGAATTATGTACCTGCACCCGTAGGTCCTTCTGTTCTACAATACTATCCAATGCCCTACCATTAATCGTATCAGCCGTACCCTTGTTTGTTTTACCAAAATGCAATATCTTGCACTTATCCAGGTTGAACTCCATCTGCGCCATCCTAATTAGTTAAAATCTACTCTCCCCTGCTCCTCATCAACACTACTTGAAACTACATGATTGATTTTCATGTGTACACTGATGACATCCAACACTAACACCACCATCACTCTCAGTTCCTCCTGAGTTTCTAAATGATCAGACTGTTTATCCAGTTTCCAGTACTGATGATGGCACTGTGGTTTTATCTGTCGACTATTGATCCACAGTCCCAGGTAATGTTCTGGGGACCTGGGATTGAATCCTACAATAGCAGGTGGAATTTGAATTCCATTAAAAAATAATCTCGAATTAAAAATTGTCGATTGTCAGGAATAATCCATCTGGTTCATTAATATCCTTTAGGGAAGGAAACTGCCAGTTAGTGTGGTCTACATAAGACTCCAGAGCCACAGTTATGTGGTCAACTTTGGGGATGGAAATAAATGCTGCCAGCTGTATATTGAGAAACAATAAACAAAGGACATGCATTTATATTACACCCTCCCTGATCACCATAAGTCCTAAAGTGTTTTAGATCCAACAAATAATTTTTGGAACGTTGATCACTGTTACATTATGGGAAACAACAGCCAGTTTCCACAAAGCAAGCTCCCACAAATATAAGTATAACACTATTGATCAGGCCACCTGTGATAACTCCCCTGCTCTTCATTGAAGTAGTAATGTGGTACATTTTGATGTTCATCTGACAGGCAGGTATGGTCCAAGTTTAACATTTCATCCAAACGAAAACACCTCCAGCAGGGAAACATTCCCTCAGTTACTCCACTGAACTATCAGCCTAGATTTTCACGCTTGAATTTTACAGTGGCTCCGCCTGTGAGAGCTCTACGGACTGAGTTACAATTGAGATGCACAACTAAAGGCATTACTGGACTCTGTCTCTGCCTCAGTTCCACTGCTGAAACCCTCTTTCATGTCTTTGTTATTTCTAATTATTCAACTTGCTCCTGGCAGGTGTCCCCTGAATTACCCTTTGTAAATATGACCTATTGCAAAGCTCTGTTACTTGTGTCCCAACTTGCAATAAGTACCATCTGCCCATTACCCTGTGCTCACTGAATTACATTGATTCCTGGTTAAGCAATGTCTGGATTTGTCTCGTATTCAAATCCTACAATGGCCTTTACCTCTTCCCTTCCCTATAATCTCCTCCAATCTTAGAACCCTTCAAAATATCTAATTCAGCCTCAGGCATCCCCAGTTTTGATCACTCCATCACTGATGGCCATATCTTCAGTTGCCTGGGTCCAAGCACTGGAATTCCCTCCTTACATCTTTCCTCCTTTAATTAAATACTCCCTAAAATCTTTGGCCCACTTTTCGACTACGTGCGCTAATCTGGCTTGGTGTTCAGTTTTGCTTTTTAACACTGTTGATTTTCAGCAAAAAACCCGTCTGGTTCACTAATATCCTTTAGGAAAAGAAACTGCCATCCTTACTTGCTATGACCTACATATGACTCCAGACCCACAGCAATGTGTTTGATTCTTAACATCCATTAGGATGGCCAATAAATGCTGGCCTAGCCAGTGACACCCTCATCCCATGAATTAATTAAAAAGCACTCCTTGGGGTGTTTTATTACATTGAAGACGCTATATAAATACAGCTGGCTGTCATCACAAGCATATTTTCCAGCCGTGTCGGTCAATAATTAATGATTTTTGCAGTCTTCCTGATTGAGTTGGCTGTTAACACTGACCTTCCACAGCAGCATAAGCTACAACACCAAAGTTACTCATTGGACTTGGAGTGGTTTCTGAATGCTGACTTACTAAAGTTCCACCCAGTCACATTCACAAATAGCAAGAGTTTAGTTTCCAAAATATGCACAGGATAACTTTTCACAAACCATCTCCGATCATTAATAAATGCAAACAAAACAAAACTACTTTAGCAGTGATTTGAAATTTAAACCCACTTCATGGGAGAGCTACCTGAGATCATGCATTAGGCATTTGCAGTTCACTGATCTTATTTAAGTGTGACCTAGGGGCCATTATCAAGTGCACCTTCATACCAGCCATTCCAGCAGAATCACATGAAACAAATGTGTATTTGTGTTTGCACTTCACAAGATGTGTTAAAAAATGACTAATACTCACAGGGGAAATGGCCAAACGCAGAATTGTCCCATTTTTAATCTCATTGCGAGTCTAAAAGAGGAAGAGAGAGAGAGAGAAACAAAAAGAGAAGGACAATTTTGAATTTAAAAAGGGAGAACAGCTGTTAATTTACATTCACCTGTTTGGCACAAGTACAGACAGTGAGGTTTACTGAATGGTCTGAAACAGCTCAAACACTAGGTGTGCAGACAGCAGAAGCGTAGCTCTGGAATAATTTAAGATGTTACAACAGGGTAACAGCAGTGTATTTCTGGATGAATAAAGTCAGGTTGGCCTTCTTCATCTATTCCCTATGCAATAAATATGACCAAATTACTGACTGACTGATGGAGATTAAATCCTGGTATTGTGGAGGTTTAAAGACTTCAGGAACCCAGAGGACTGACCTTTTCTGTAATGTATAGCTGGGTCCCATCAGCATACCGTAGAGTATAGTGCTCTGGGTTCGGTAAAGACCACCTGTTGAGGCAAACCAGATAAATCTCATCAAAAATCCCTTCTGTGTCCAGCACAGCATCAGCAATGCTAAACAATTGAGAACCACAATCACGGGCGAGCAGATATAATAAACAGTTACTGATCATTACTTAGTTATTTGGAACAGTAATCAATAGTATCATTACCTAATCAGTATGCCATCAATAACGGACAAGGTAATCAGCAATTGTAAATCACCAGTCTATTTCCATTAACAATGTGTTGATGTGCACTTCAGATCTATCTGTCTGCCTTAGCTCTGTATCACTCAATACCCATGCCCAACAAAAGGACTCCCAAAATATGGAGAGTACCCAACCTAGAAATGACCCAAATGTGAACTACTGTGATAATGTTACATTCCAATTTATACTCAAGGCAGAATCAAAATAGATTTATTCAGAAAACAGGGCCACAAAAGGAAATGCCCTGCACCTCACACTTTATCTAACATCTTCCCTGTTAGCATCAGTGGTACATAGCTCATCTGATACATTTTTCGGTATTTAAAGTTTTTGCAAAGATTTGTAGCTCGGGTTGTGGGCGAGGTTGTTGACTTGCTCGCCGAGCTGGCTTGTTTTCGTTAAGACATTTTGTCACCATGCCAGGTAACATCATCAGTGAGACCTCTGATAAAGCAATGTTGTTATACTCCGCATATGGGTTTGTATATGGGGTCCAATTCTATATGTTTGTTGATTGCACTATGGGTTGAGAACTATGCCTCTAGGAATTCCTGTGCGTGTCTATGTTTGGCTTGGGCTACTACGTTGCATTGTCCCAGTTAAACTGATGGCCTTCATTATCTGAGTGTACTGATATTAAGGAGAGTTCATCGTGTCGTTTTGCTGCTAGCTGACGTTCGTGTGTTCTGATGGCTAGGTTCCTTCCTGTCTGTCCGATGTAATGCTTATGGCAGTGTTGCATGGTATTTTGTAAACTACGTTGGTTCTGCTTGTTGTGGGAATGGGGTCTTTAATCCTTGTAAGTGTTAGTCGCAGAGTGGCTGTGGGCTTGTGGGACACTCTACGACAAACACACACAAGGATTAAAGACCCCATTCCCACAACATGCAGAACCAACGTAGTTTACAAAATACCATGCAACGACTGCCACAAGCATTACATCGGACAGACAGGAAGGAAACTAGCCATCAGAACACACGAACATCAGCTAGCAGCAAAACGACACGATGAACTCTCCTTAATATCAGTACACTCAGATAATGAAGGCCATCAGTTTAACTGGGACAATGCAACCGTAGTAACCCAAGGCAAACATAGACACGCACAGGAATTCCTAGAGGCATAGTTCTCAACCCATAGTGCAATCAACAAACATATAGAATTGGACCCCATATACAAACCCATACAGAACAAAACCGGAAATGATACTACTCATCATAACAGACCGGACAATATAAATTCCATGCGGAGTAGAACAACATTGCTTCATCGGAGGCCTCACTGATGATGTCACCTTGCTAGGTGACGAAACGTCTTAACAAAAACAAGCCAGCTCGGCGAGCAAGTCAACAACTTCACAAATTTCTGCAATTGCTCTGCCTGTTCCAATTCTCTGCACCAGTCCCACCCTCTTCCCTTATCTCATTTCCTCAACAACCTGCTCATCTGACACTGATGGGACTCTGTGTTTAACACATTGTTGCATGAGAAATTTGTGTACAATTTAAGCTGTACAACACTTTTCATGGGATCAGATATGCTTGAGAGTCCTGGACACTGGTCCATTGATTTGCACTCGGAAGGGTCTAGATATTAGGACAAATTTAGACTGAATACGTAGCAACGCATAAAGTCAGAATGCATTTGTAATGATTGGAATGAGGGCCAGGTGGATCTCATTGAGTATGAGATCCCTGATTGGCGTTGTTAAACTGGGCCAATCAGGAGCCCTGCTGACAGATATAAACAGGAAATTCAGAGAGTCTCCTCCCTCTAGGGACTAGCTCTGACCCAGCTGGTCAGAGCCCACACACTGTGCACGTGTAAATAAAGGGTGACTTGGTGATGAGATACCAGCGTCTTTACACTTATTTCAGTCTTGAAATAAATCAAAGTGTAATCATCTAAAACATGATTTCCTCATTATAGTGACTATTATTCTACATCAGGACTCTTACACAGAGCAGATCAGTCTGTGCTTATTTGCTAACTGCCTCGTTCACAACCACAAAACTATTAATAGCGGAGTAGTCATTTTTGTCTGCATGTGAATATGAAAAATATCACAACTGTGGTTAATCTCCACACGTACAATGCCAAATGAACAAAATTCAGTTAAAATACAACTAAATACACTAGGAACATTGTATTGAAATCATTTTTCCCTCCGCTCTGAATGCACTTACTCATGGGGAGACACAGACTCACAGTTGCCCACTTCCCGCATGCTTCAGGTACCAAGTGAACTGTTGACAATACCAGAAAGGGACCTTTGCTCTGCTTGGTCCACTGGCCAATTGGAGTATCCTGCATTACACGCACGTTGTTTTAAAACCCCAAACCTCAATGTCCCAGTACATCAGACTTATTATCTTCAACAGCTGTCCTTCCAATCCTGACCTTAATTATGGGCCAGAATGCACCAAACTCTCCAACCACTCCCACATTACACAAAGGAAATAGTCAATATTCAGTGTAGGGAGTCACATGCCCACCTGATCCAATTCCTTGTGGTTCATCATAGATGGAGCTTCCACTGTAGATATGGACAGTTTCAATGACCCGTATTATACAGCTGGGGGCATCTGATATTAAGCCTTGAGAGAGGACAGGGACATGCTGCACTGTATGTAGGGTAGAAATTATTGCAGCGCCTAAGCTAATGCAAATTTTCCTTTAATCAGAACTTGAGCCAATCATCTTTTGTATTTGTAAATTGGTCCAAAAAAACTTTTCAATTGTTTTTGCTCTCTACATACTTGGTGTTATTGCCTCCAATTCCATTTTCCCGCCCTGGCTACCATTTGAGGGCCAGACCAGCACATCTGCAATCTTCAAAGTCTTACTTTGATCCCAAACTGAAGGCCCAACTGTACATCAACCCCATCGCAAAGGCCACCTGCTGTACACAACAGTAACTCCATGTCCCTTAAATCTATCAATTTAAAATTCTCTTTGCTCCCTTCACATCCTTGACACTTACGAGCTCTTATCCATGTCAAGCCCTACACACACCCCAAAATTCTGTTACTCCGTTTCAGCTTCTAGGCCTCGACCCTCCCACTGGTAGTGACACGACTTCAGCCCTCTGCAATTCTCCACAGAAACATTCAGCCTTCACTGTTCTTTCCTCCTCTAAAACCCAGCTGTCTGATCAAGCCTTTGGTCATCTGGGATAGTATTTGTTTCTTTGGCCGAGCATCCACTTCTGTCCGATTTTAAAGAAGCTATGCAAGTGCAAGTTGTTGTAGGTGTAAATGCCTAGAACAAATGTCAACACGTTGTCGAGGACGGTGGCTGCCCTGAATGCCCCCCGAGGTCCAGGTTCTCACAAGATTAGTTCATGTTTTCAAAATTTAAATTTGACTTTTTAAATAAAAATTGGTAAGACAGAAGGGGGACACCAAGAAGATATAGCAGAAAGGGAAACCAAGTGGACAGAAGATTAGAAAGAGATAAAGAATACCAGAGATTTGGGAAGACTAATGTCACCGGAATAGTAATCCAGAGGTCTGGGCTAGTGCCAGGATGACATGGGTTCCAATTTCACCATGGCAGCTGGTGGAATTCAAATTCAATTAATATAGTCTGGAACATTAAATAAGTCTGAGTAGTGGTGACCATGACAACTCTCACAGACAAAGTCATACAGCTGTACAGTCTGGAAACTCAACCCATCAATGCTGACCAGATATCCTAAATTAATCTAGTCCCATTTGCCAGCATTTGGCCCATATCCCTCTAAACCATTCCTATTCATGTACCCATCCACACGCCTTTTAAATGTTGTAATTGTACCAGCCTCCACCACCTCCTCTGACAGCTCATTCCATACATGCACCACCCTCTGTGTGAAAAAGTTACCCCTTAGATCCCTTTTAAATCTTTCCTCTCTAACCTTCAACCTATGCCCTCTCATTTTGGACTCCCCTACCCAGGGAAAAGACCTTGACTATTCACCACATCCATGCTCCTCATGATTTTATAAACCTCTATTTGGTCACCCCTCAGTCTCCGACACTCCAGGGAAAAAAGCACCAGCCTATCCAGCCTCTCCCTTTAGCTCAAACCCTCCTACCCTGGCAACATCCTTGTACATCTTTTCTGCAGCTTTTCAAATTTAACAACATCTTTCCTATAGCAGGGAGACCAGAATTGGCCTAGCCAATGTTCATCAATTGCTGTACAAACTCATCTGGTTCACTCATGCCGTCCAGGGGAAGGAAATCTGCCATCCTTACCAGCTTTGGCCTACATGTGACTCCAGACTCACAGCATTGGTGTTTGTTCCTTAATTGCCCTCTGAAATGGTCCAGCAAGCCACTCAGTTTAGGGATAATTAGGGAGGGGCAAAAATGCTGCTTTTTCCAGCAACACACATATCCAACAAAACAGCAAATAAATTAATGAATTAAAAATTGGGAGGAATCAGAGAGGGCCAAATAATAGGCTGTCTGAGATGGGTTTGGAATGCTTGTGAGAAAATGCACAGGAAGTGATAAAAAAGGCTGATGAACTACAAGCAAATAGAGGCAATAAAACAGACCTGGTTCAAAGAAAGGGAAAAATAGGAAATGTGACAACCGAGGTTGCAAGGTATTCAGGAAAGGTAAAGACAGAAAACAAGGAATGGGGTGTCAGTATTGATCAAAATAAATTATACAGTATTGAAAATGGATGATGCAGATGAGGGACCAAAGAGAAAGTGTATTTGGTTGGGACTTGGCAATAATAGGTGAGCTACTGGATATAAACATCAAATAGTGGAAAAGAGAGAGAGGATCAAATTTGCAGGCA